ACTTCAATTAAAAACAAATCCAGTTTCCCACTGAGCACCTGTTTCCTATCTGAAGAACGTGTCATTTATAAACTGGCAAATACAAATGCACTTGTTGTCAATTTGTTTCATATTTCTAAGCGCTCCAAGCCACATTTTAGAAGAACAGCCTCCTAGCTTTAAAGTTTTAAGATACCTTAATATACAGTAACATGCAAACCTCAAAATGCTCCATCTGCATGTTATTTCTCTTTTCCACACTTGGGTGCTCTGAATTTATTCCAATTAAAAAAATCTAAATAATGGTGTTCTATCTATAAGCATAATATTAAAAATTAATGGGATAAGTCTATCTTCTCTCCCCTAGAACAGACCCTGACAGACTCAAGTTTTGAATATGACTTGAAATAATTATTTGTTAAAACTTTACTATGCAATTAGCACTATGCTACATATTAGCTACTCTTTTGGAACTCACAATTTACTGAGAAAGATAGAAACTATCACACGATATAATAATAAACATAATAATTAAGCACTGTTCTGAACATGTCAGAGATGAAAAATACAAGCATGAAGCCACTTCTTCCTCTTTTATTAATGGCAAACATAATTAACTGATAGTGGCACTTTTTCTTGCTGAGCAAGGATGCATTCTCAGAATTCTTCTTAATATTGAGCTCCATGAAGACTCTAACAATGTGCTTGAACTGGCAGAGCAATTAAAACATGTTTCTCTGTTACAGCGTGATAAAAATACACAGGAGAATCAGTCCAAAAAGGCTAGAGAAAGTTTTAGTAAGAAGGCAGAATATTCATTCATCAATCAACATTCATGTGTCCATGGGGTCACCAAGAGTCAAGACATGACTTAGCATATGCACATGCAGGCAAGCGCGCGCACACACACACACACAGTATGAAAGGAGTTAGTGCACATGTGCACAAACACACACTATGAAAGGAGTTAGGACTACCAGAGAAATTAAAGCAGTTAAGATATGGTCTCAGATTTCCAAAAAACAAAATTTTAGTGAAGAAGCAAAACAGTGATAAAACAGGATGCTGAGTGCTATCAAGTGTATGCAGGATGTTTGGGCATCTAAGTAAGACCATGATGAGGTAACTTTTCCAGGAAAAAAAGTGACTCTTTGGCCAAGTTCTAAAGCATAGTTAGCCAAGTAAAGAAAGATGGAGGCGTGTGACATCACCAAGATGGTGACATACGTTTTTCCTGATTTCACACTCTCTTATAAGAACTAACAACTACTCATAGACAAAACACCACTGAGAAAGATGGAAGGAAAGAATACATGGGAGGCAAGATGAGAAAGTATAGCATGTTCCAAAAAACTCTAAACACGCTTGCACAGCTTGACCCAGAGTCAATCTTGAAACATGAGGAGGATTTTAATGTGTAGTAAGAGAATGACAATAGTTGAGATACCACTGATTTTATAAATTCTACCATTAAATTATTACTATATGCATGTATTCCTGAAGCAAAAAGTTAAATAACAGCTCTAAAGAAATAATGAATCAAGGAAATAATTATTAATAGCTACTAGCCTTAACCCTAACTTTATATTGACTCACAACACTTGAACCCACTGATCAATTTTGAAAATAAACCTTTAAATGCGGAAAAGTCTTCGATTTACAGTAAAGTTTCAGAAAACAGAAAATTTCCATACACATCTCTCACCCAGTGTCCCTTGTTGATAACTTCTTACATTATTGTGGCACACTTCTTACAACTAAGGAACCATTATTGCCATTATTACTATAATTAGACTCCACACTTTATCTGGATTTCCCTAGAACTAGTTTTCTCTAATGTTCTTTTTCTGTTCCAAGATCCCATCCAGGATATATTACATTTAGTTATCTTGTCTCCTTAGCCTTCTCTGAGCCATGACATTTTCTCAGACTTTGTTTTTTATGACCTTTATATTTTCAAGTCATACAGGTACAATGGTCAGTTATTTTGTAGAATGGTCCTGGATATGAATTTGTTTGATGTTTTTCTCAAAACTAGACATGTGTTTTAGGGGAAAAAACCACAGAGGATTACGCCGTTCTCATCACATCAAGGATACATACTACCAACATGATTTAACACTAATATTAACATTTATCACCTGGTCAAGGCTGTGTTTGCCAGGTTTCTCCAGTGTAGTTACTTTCCCTCATTTTCTGCAGTCTACCTTTGGAAGCAAGTTATTAAATACATCCCACACTCAAGGGAAGTGGAGAGAGTTAAGCAAAAGCAGATGTTTTCCTGTAATGCTCTTGCATTTTCTATGATCCAATGGATGTTGACAATTTGATCTCTGGTTCCTCTGTCTTTTCTAAATCCAGCTTGAACATCTGGAAGTTCTCGGTTCACGTACTGTTGAAACCTGGCATGGAGAATTTTGAGCATTATTTTGCTAGTGTGTGAGATGAGTGCAATTGTGCAGTAGTTTGAACATTTTTTGGCATTGCCTTTCTTTGGGATTGGAATGAACACTGATCTTTTCCAGTCCTGTGGCCACTGCTGAGTTTTCCAAATTTGCTGGCATATTGAATGCAGCACTTTCACAGCATCATCTTCGAGGATTTGAGATAGTTCAGCTGGAATTCACCTCCACTAGCTTTTATCGTTGTGATGTTTCCTAAGGCCCACTTGACTTTGCATTCCAGGATGTCTGGCTCTAGGTGAGTGATCACACCATCATGGTTTTATATGGGTCATGAAGATTTTTTTGTATAGTTCTTCTGTGTATTCTTGCTATCTCTTCTTATTATCTTCTGTTTCTGTTAGGTTCATGCCATTTCTGTCCTTTATTGTGCCCATCGTTGCATGAATGTTCCCTTGGTATCTCTAATTTTCTTGAAGAGATCTCTGGTTTTTCCCATTCTGTTGTTGTCCTCTATTTCTTTGCACTGATCACTGAGGAAGGCTTTCTTATCTCTCCCTGCTCTTCTTTGGAACTCTGCATTCAAATGGGTATATCTTTCGTTTTCTCTTTTGCCTTTAGCTTCTCTTCTTTTCTCAGCTATTTGAAAGGCCTCCTTAGACAACAATTTTGCCTTTTTACATCTCTTTTTCTTAGGGATGGTCTTGATCACTGCCTCCTGTTCAATGTCACGAACCTCCATCCATAGTTCTTCAGGCACTCTATGAAATCTAATCCCTTGAATCTATTTGTCACTTCCACTGTATAATCGTAACAGATTTGATTTGGGTCATACCTGAATGGTCTAGTGGTTTTCCCTACTTTCTTCAATTTAAGAATTTCCCTAATTTCTTCAATTTCCCCACTTTCTTCAATTTCTTCAGTTTAAATATCCAAGTCCCCAGAAAATTAGTAATACATCCAATAGCAGCAGAACATGACCTGGTATATTTTTAATACATATCATAGAATAATGTGAGATACATATTTTTGTGACCAATTTCTTAAAATATTTATGTAGGAAATAAATTATAATTAGACTGCATTCACAGATGTTTACATCTTAATCATATTACTCACAGTGAATTTTATTACATATCAAATTATTTAAAAATAGATTAAAAAAATAGATCAATACAGCCCTAAAACTATAATGAAACACAAAACATATGTTATGTCACATGTTTGTTTAAATACAACTTGGGTTAAATATATTAAATAGATCTTGTCAGTCTGCTTTTTTTTTTCCTTTCATGTCAGTGAAGAAAAAAGAGCAAGCATAAATAGTTCATAAAAATTATCTTTCCCTCCACTAACAGTTGCCAGTACTATCTGAAGAATATGTGTTATCTGCTTTATCATTTGCATAAAACTACCCTCCCAATAAATCAATGAACTAAAAAAACAAAATGACATCAGTCCAAAAGTACACATTTTCCACTTTAAAACACATAATTAATGTGTGTGTGTGTGTGTGTGTTAGTCACTCAGTCGTGTCCGACCCTTTGTGATCCCATGGACTGTAGCCCACCAGGCACCTCTGTTCATGGAATTCTCCAAGCAAGAATACTGGAGTAGGTAGCCATTCCCTTCTTCAGGGTATCTTCTAATATATAATATTCAGTCTATATTTGTAGTCATCTAAATTTTAATCTAAAAACAGTGATAGTGGTTTGTAAATAATGTTAAAAATTTCAATCATCTGTTTTAACAATAAATGAGTTTTGTGTTTGTGTGCACAGCTGAGGACTATATTACTAATATAGTTACAGAGTTATATAGATGTGGTATTCTTAGAAATAGATTTCATTTCCCTGACCTGTCAAGAAGACATCTGAAACAACAAAAATAGTCAAAATTATGTATGTATTCTACGGTGAAATCAAGGAACATCTGACTATTGAAAAAAATCAATTAATGCAATTACTAACAAGAAAACACACATGACACAAAAATAATGAAACCTTAGATTACCTAAAGAAGTCAAAAGAACATTTTATTAGTACCTTCCTCAATATTAGAAAGTATTTTATAGAAGTATCTGCCAATACTAAAAGGTTTATAGAGACTGTATTAGTCTTAACAGAAAAAAGTGACCAATAACACTAGAAAAGTACGTGTAGGCTGCACTACCCTCTAATGGCAAATGATAAGAGAAATATATGACCAGGTTATCCACAGGCATAAACAATAAAATCACAGCTTACCTCACAATTTCTGTAATTCCAAAATATCCTGAGCCATGGTTTCAGGATTTTTTTTTAAAATAAAGTTTGAGGTATTATACCATTTTTCCCTAAAATTTTAAGCTTACATGCGGTAACCTTTAGACACACAATAATTAGGATGCTAAAGTCAAATGATACTATATTTCATGCAAATAGTATTTTTATTCTACTGTATTGTACTTTATATTATTTTAATTGCAAGACAAAGGATTGAGTTTAATTATTCATGACAAACATGGGCTATCCTTTAAACGGCTGTATCTCAAATAAAACTTATAGAAAAACACTAAAGTACTACTCTTAAAACCCAACAAATGTTTTCTAGAATAAAGATGGTTACAATAACACTTACCTCAGTCTTTTTACTAAAGTGATCTGTAAATGAAAAAAAAAATGGTGAGACTTCATTGAAGGACATTAACATATAAAATATTTCAATATGTACAAAATATTTAAACTAAGTTATTGAAAAGAATTTCAAAATTATAAGAGTTACACACCAGGCTTCCCTGGTGGCTCAGCAGTAAAGAATCCGCCTGCATCCCTGAATCAAGAAGATCCCCTTGAGAAGGAAATGGCAACTCACTCCAGTATTCTTGCCTGGGAAATTCCATGGACAGAGAAGCCTGGTGGGCTGCAGTCCATGGAGTCACAAAAGAGCTGGATGTAACTTAGCGACTGGACAACAACAGTAAGAGTTACAGAAGTCATTTGGGGGCTGTCTGGGACTCACATCAGATTTACTTTTCTAGGGATAAGATGTTAAAATTTACCATATAATTACTAATTTGCTCAGCTTAAGGACTCATATCCTACTAAATGCCACCCATACCAAGGGGTACTATTAAATTCTAAACATTTGAATTTCATATAGTTTAAATTTGTTGTTTCACATAAATTTTTTGGGGGGGAGGGAGCACTTGAAGGGAGGTAAACATGTCTAAAATCAAATCACAGGGTACTCTTAGTGTAAAGATTGTACAGACCACTGCCTCTGTGGAATAAAAGGTAGAACAGTGATTTGTGTCCTGTAAAACTGTTAGCTAGGTTTTTAAAATTTTAAAACTACGTATTATAGTGATGTGATAATACTGTGAAAAAAATCCTAAAAATTAATGTATATTTATGTTGACACAACTATACTGAACTTAAACAAACCATTGACTTAGTAACAACACAGTATTTCTGGGAAATGATTACAAGCAAGACACAGGGAATCCACACAGACAAAAGGTTGAAACTAATAGGTAGCAAGTGTTCTTATTTAAATTGGAGATGATCAAGGTATCTAATATTTAACAATGCTTCTCAGGCACAGTAGAAACTTTCCATTCTCAAGGACTAAAAGTAATTTAGCAGCATAGTTTCTTATGAGAAATCTATTTGCAAATCTAAAACCTGGGTCCAATTCTCTAAAGTATCCACTGATCACAATAGAGTCCATAAACCCAGTAAATCTCAAAATCATAAATTTCAGGTCAAACTACCAAATCCTGATAGGCTACTCAGTCATTCTTCTTGCATGTTCTACTTAGTATTCAATGTGAAGCCAGGGAAGAACCATGATTGTGTTTGTCATGTTTTGAAGTAGTTGTGCAGCCTGCCTTTAACAATATCATACTAATATCATTCTCAACTCATCTAATAAATTTATATAGTATTTAAACATATGAAAAATAAAGTTTTAAAAAAGATTCTTTTCATAGCTTTGCCTAGTTTATGATGACATAACTCATATAAAATCATTCTTACTAAAACTGGAAATTTAACATGTATCTGTTCTTTTAACCCCAAAACAAAATGACTTAATCAGAAAAGTCGGCTATAGGAAAAACTTTCCTCATCCTTAAATGTAAACAATGCAATCCTCTAAATTTATTCCTAGCTTCACGGACTGCAAGGAGATCCAACCAGGCCATCCTAAAGGAGATCAGCCCTGGGTGTTCATTGGAGGGACTGATATTGAAGCTGAAACTCCAATACTTTGGCCACCTCATGAGAAGAGCTGACTCATCTGAAAAGACCCTGATGCTGGGAAAGATTGAGAGCAGGAGGAGAAGGGGACGACAGAGGATGAGATGGTTGGATGGCATCACCGACTCAATGGACATGGGTTTGGGTGGACTCCGGGAGTTGGTGATGGACAGGGAGGCCTGACGTGCTGTGGTTCATGAGGTTGCAAGAAGTCAGACACGACTGAGCGACTGAACTGAACTGAACTGAATGCACAGACAGGCTTGTTTCTAAAAACAGTGAATTTTTTTTTTTATATCACTGTTATGGTCTTACTAATCCTCATGGACAGTTTCCCTGATGGCTTAGATGGTAAAGAATCTGCCTCCAATGCAGGAGACCTGGGTTCGATCCCCAGGTTGGGAAGGCCCCTTGGAGAAGGGAATGGTAACCCATGCCAGTATTCTCTGCCTGCAGAATTCCATGGACAGAGGAGCCTGGTGGGCTACAGTCCACGAGGTAACCAATGTATTAAGTTTAAATTCATACGAGTCAAACTGACTTCAAGATCAATGAACAAATAGCCATTCATTTGGTCAGCAACTACTCTTATTTTCCTTTGAATATAATTCCCTGCAATACAGTTGGACCTTGCTGTTTATCTGGTCAGCAACTGTTTTGACTGGTGTAAGCATGGCTTGTTGTTATTTAGTTGCTAAGTCATGTCTAACTCTTTTGCAACCCCATGGACTATAGCTCACCAGACTCTTCTGTCCATGGGATTCTCTAGGCAAGAATACAGGAGTGGGTTGCCATTTCCTTCTCCAGGGGATCTTTCCAACCCAGGGATCGAACCGCTGTCTCCTATGTCTCCTGCATTGGCAGGCAGATTCTTTTCCACTGTGCCACCTGGGAAGCCCCCTATTTCTAGTCTAGTGTAAGTCAAATTACTTTATGTGTAAGGACAATAATATGTTTCAAGATGACTAAAAACTACAAATATCAATTTTTATTTTCAGTGAATTTTAGAAAAGGGGAAAATTCAGAAATACAGAAAGATAAATTCTTACTGAAATTTTATGAGGTTTTAATGACTGTGTTTAAATCACTTTAACACCCAAATAGTTTATTTCCAAGCAGGTTTACATGTTTTACATTGTAAGTAACATATTAATAAAACAATCTTATTTTAAAAATTAGAAAGGTACTTAAACTTAAGTATACAAAGACTCAGAATAGTTTCTCTGGCTTAATAGATTTTGTACATATATTACCTTCAGATTGAAACTCTTTTAGTGATATTGTGAGAGGTTTGTCTTTTCCCTGATGAGTCTTTCTTTTGTCTTTTTTATTCACAACCTTTGACTGAGTCGATGCATTTTCAGCATTTTCATATTCCTAAAAAAAATTACCAACAATAATTAAGCTTGGTTTACACCAGTAAAATCAATTCACCAATATGCAGTATGTTTCTTAAAGTTATATTTTTAAAGATAAGAGGCAAATAAAAAGATCAAAACAGAGGCTAGCCAAACTGTATAAAAAGTTACCTGTTTATGGATATACTTAATCTTTTGCCTATTAAACACTAAAATAAAAATTAAAAGCTATACCTTAATCTATAACTCTGAGGTGCTCATCTTCTTCTTCATTTCAGGACCAAACTTAATACAATAATCTAGGGTCAATTTCCTTTCTCAAATGAACTTAAATCTGGCTTCTGCTAGTTTCTGACACTAAAATTAAAGTCAACCTCCTGGTGGCTCAGACAGTAAAGAATCTGCCTGCAATGCAGGAGACTCAGGTTTGATCTCTGGGTCGGGAAGATTCCCTGGAGAAGGGAATGGCAATCCACTCCAGTATTCCTGCCTGGAGAATTCTATGGACAGAGGCTACAGTCCATGGCGTGGCAGAGTCAGACACAAATGACCAACTCACACTTTCAGTTTTCTTTTTCAAAGCTAAATCCAAGGACATTTTTTTTTAAGCATCTCTTGGTTTTCTCAATACACTTCTGACTATGCTTATTTCTCCTTCACTGGTTTCTCTTTTCCCAACTATATTCTTTAAAATGCAGCTGCTGTTCACCATTATTCCATTCTTAACCTATCTTCGTATCCTTTATACCTGTTGTTCCTCAAACTCAAAATTTAAAGTTCTACCTGATGATTTGTGTATGTACAGACAACTCACATGGAATATTCAGTAAATATCTGCAAACTAAGCATGTTGAACTCCTAGTGAGCACCTTATTTAATGTCACCATCATTACACACTCTCTAGGCTAGAAACCTCAGTGACCCTTGCCTATTCTTCTTTTATATTTTATGTGCAAATTACTCACTAGGTCTTGTTGAGTTTATCTCCTAAAGAACTCTTAAATCTATTCTCTTTTATTCATCCCCAGCAGGGAAGTTCAGTTCAGTTCAGTCGCTCAGTCATGTCCGACTCGTTGCAACCCCATGGACTTTGTATTTTGTCATTTCCCTTGCCTTCTTTAACTTGATATTACAATACTCTCTAATTTTAGCCCCACCACTCATCTTCTACACTGTTATAGCATGAGTTTCTAAAATGAAAACCTGAAATCTGAAAAGTTAAAAATATTCAACAGCTCTCTCCCAACAAATGTATAAAAGTCAATCTCCTAAGTCTGCACACAATGTTTATAGTCTATTCTGGTGGCAGTATCTCCAGCAACTCTAGGTACTAAATTACAGTTTTTCCAAAATAAATAAATAAATAAATAAATTACAGTTTTTCAAAATGCTACTCTTTCACATGTATACATACAAGATACATACTCTCCTCTCCTTCCTTGAGAATGCCTTTCTCTTGCCTAACTGATGAACTTTTAATACATCAAGTAAGACTCCTCTTTAAGAACCTTTTCCTAAGATATCCTGCCATCCTAAGATATTCTGTCACAACATGGATGGACCTTGATAACATTATGCTCAGTGATGTAAGTTAGACAGAGAAAGAGAAGTACTGAATGATTTCACTTATATGAGGAATCTTTTTAAAACAAATAAAGTCAAACCTATTAAAAAAGAGTAAAATTAGTTACCAGGAAATGGTAAAATGAGACCAACGGTGTTTAAGTATACAAACTTATAATGAGTAATAAATAAACCACAGAGATCCAATGCACAGTATAATGAATAAAAATCAACAATATTATATACTACAACACTATCATATGATAAACATCGCTTCACTGGCAATCATTCTACAATATGCAAATAGATCAAACTAACACACTATACATCTTATATTTACATACTGTAACACTTCAGATTTATCAAATAAAAAAAGAATCCTTTCCTAAAATCCACCCCCATCAAAAGCATAGAAAATTCTATCTTACTGAATTCCCATTGCAATGAAAACATAAAATCTCTCAATACTATACACTACAAGTATATGTGTGTCTCTCACTTCACTCCCTCTACTAAATTCAATAGCTTGGACCATGTCTCTATCTTTGTACTGCATGCCTAGCAATTTTTGACTATTAAAAAAAATATATGGTGAACGAGTGACAGGATAGAAAATGCCATCCCACAGCTATTATGAAAACCTTTAGGCTAAAATAATCATAGTTATTTTATTGGAATACTGACTTAATATCTACATCAGTGTAATTACATCAAACTAGCCATTTCATTGGAGAAGGCAATGGCACCCCACTCCAGTACGTTTGCCTGGAAAATCCCATGGATGGAGGAGCCTGGTGGGCTGCAGTCCATGGGGTTGCTAAGAGTCGGACACGACTGAGCGACTTCTCTTTCATTTTTCACTTTCATGCATTGGAGAAGGAAATGGCAACCCACTCCAGTGTTCTTGCCTGGAGAATCCCAGGGACGGCGGAGCCTGGTGGGCTGCCGTCTATGGGGTTGCACAGGGTCGGACACAACTGAAGTGACTTAGCAGCAGCAGCAAAAGCAACTAAGTGGCAGCCGCCACCACCGCACAGGGAAGGAGCTGACCGTTCCCTGAGAATCACTACAGTCCGGTAAAGCCTGCGCTTTTCAGTGCCGGCCTATGACTGCCGCAAAAAAACTGGCTGGGAGCATATTTTACCAATACCATCTACTCTACTCCTCCTCTATAGGTATAGCTAATCCTTTTAGCTTTAGAACATAGATATTTTACAACAAATCATCACTGTATGATAATATTCTATTTGATAAATTTTATCTTTGAACCGAGCAAGTCAAGAGGATTTTTCCAGTGTAATCTGAAAGTTCATTTAAATGATTAAACCATAGTAAAGTTAGCTGTAATTGCTAGCTTTGTGTCTAAATGAACAAATAACAGTAAGGATTACAGTTATTCTTGATTATTCCAGATAATACAAATAGGGACACGGAAAATGAAACTAACACATACAGTGTACCAAGTCCAGTCTAATGGCAACTTTCATCCTCTTCCCTTGAGCTACAAATAAATAGCAAAATCATCTACTATAAATGTTCACTCCTCTACACCCTTCATGTTGAATGAAGGAGTTAGTGTACAGTGATATAGTCTAAAGGCCCTTAAGCCCAAATGCTATTTATGATCAACCACTGAGTAACCACAAGTTGAAAAAATTTTACAGACCAAAAAAAAAATTACCAATGTATGCAAAAGACTAAAACGTTAAACAATATGGAGATAATATAAATGCTCAATTTAAATACAGAAAATAGAAACAAATGCTACTTTTTGCTTAAATATCCCTACAGTTACAAGCTATATAATGCATTTCAACACATAACCCAGTATCAAGCTTAGTGATAAGTGCTAAATTCACAAGGTCAAATTATCAGAAATGTCCTCTCATTTACTTTAATTAACTACAGTGTATCTTCAGTAGAGGGTCTTTTAATGGATGCCCTTGTGCATAAGAGTTACTCAAAATTTTAAATCTTAACTATTTTCTATGTTCATTTAAAATAAGTAAAAATAAATCATCTGCTATTCATTTCCTCTCTCCCTTTCATTGTGGGTGGAGAAATTTCTTAACTAAACATTCCAAATCACCAGACAAAGCTCAGTCCATGTGTTTGTGGTATCTCTCAAAACTTGAGGAGAATCTCATAAAAACTTTATGTTAATACTTTGATACAAGGATGGGTTTTTACGACAGATTTTAAAGGAGAACTTTTATACAAAATTCAGGAAGGCTGGTTCAAACTTTTGACGACTTAAAATATCTAAATCAATAAATGTGTAAATACCTTTTTGTGTTCTTCATATTCTAATTTACTCAGCAACAATGCCTTCTCAAGATCTGCTTCAAACATTTCAGATGTCAGCTAAAAGTAAAAACAGTTTCACAATAAACAGATATAGCATTATATGACACCAGCAAAATAACTATGATAATATATACAGAATAAGAAAACAAATACTTTAAAAAACAACTGGGTTCTCCAAAGTTATCTATCCATACCAAAGTAGAGAACTCCATGTTTTATAGATGATACCAAAGCAAAAACTTACAATTTTGATATTTTTACTTCCTCATTGTCAATTATCTGTTATGTAACACAATGTTTTTACTCTAATAAAAAAATCTTACAAAAAAATTGACACTATAACAGATGTCAAAGATGGTATCTAGTTTTGGACACAGAAAATATAATGTTACTAAAAACAAATAAGAATACTAAAAACTCAATAAGCATTATAAAACATACCATATCCTTAATATAGACTAATTTGCAGGTACAGAACCTTTAAATAAGGTGACCAATTGTTTTGGCATATGCCTGATGTTACAGAAAAATTACAGTGCATCTTTTTACTGTTTTCTCTTTATTCCTTTTGTATGACTGGTCTACCTTTAAAGTCATCTAATACTACTACAGTAAAATGATTCTTTGTGATCTCTTTTGGTTCCTCTCTCTCACCACTCAGTCTTACCTTAAGCTCTGACAATCCAGATTCTGCCACCTCCAATCAAATTAGTCTCTAAGACTTACTTTTCCTAACTGTCCAACAGAATTGGTACCGTAGCTAAAGGAGACTTTGGGGTGTCTACCTTTGGGGGTAAGGTATGTCTGCAGCTAAATATAGGATAGTTGCAGTAGGATAAGAGTAAACTATCCTGGATTTGTTTACATGTATGTGTCAACTTATGCATACCATATAATAAAAATATAACTTCAGTGGGCATTGCTTTTAATCTGCCCACAATACCTTCCTTTATTCCTCTGAATAACAACACTTCAATCCAGTGTGCTAGGATTCTGGTAAGACAGTCACCACCTGATTCTTTATACCACTTGCTAGCATACCCACACAAACATCTCAGCTGCCACTGCAACCACCAACAGGATGGGAGCAAAGGACCGAGCTATTTTTTGTTCTCTTGGTAATTAAATTTTGAGAACAAACACAAAGTAAGAAGGGTTCAATCAGCTGATTATAGCCTCTAAAAGTAAGTATACTAGCTCTACTAGTTCATGCCTAAGAGCACCCAGAATTTCTTAGTTTTCATCTTTCCCAAGGTCTCATTGTTTAGTTTTTAATTCAAATCTGTTAATTAGTATCATTTACCAAATTATTTTTTGCCAAAGTTACTCAGAATTGTTTCTGCTGTTTAATGATTTTAAAAAACTGAACTAAAACAGAAATCAGTTCCTAAAAGGAGTAATCTGTTTCAAAGGAATACCTTGAAAATTAGAAAAAGGTTAACACTGGACATCAGGAACTGATAAATCATTTATTTCAATCAATGTTATCCCTTTGAAAGTATCTCATCCAACCCTATACTAAGATAACAAAAAGAGGGGGAAAACTACGTTTATCACAAAAAATTGATCTAACTCAGAGAAAAATACAATTACAATTATAATTGTAAATAAGGGCATACAGAAATTCTCGTTAATTCCCAAGTGAATTGTACATACTTTTTCTAAGGTAAGGAGTAACTGAAAAGAACTGAAGAATTCCTTCAATCCAAATGAGTAATAATCAGAAAAAAGTAATCTTTCTCAAAGGTTAATTTTTTATACTTTATTATATAAATGTGTATTTAAAGAACAATACAATACCTTTAAAGGTATTATAAAGAACAATACCTTTAAAAGGTAAAAAGAAATTGGATTCATGTTGTTGTTGTAGTTGTCCAGTCACTAAGCCGTGTCCAACCCATGAATAGCAGCATGCCAGGCTTCCCTGTTCTTGACTATCTCCCAGAGTTTGTTCAAACTCATATTCATTGAGTCGGTGATGCCATCCAACTATCTCATTCAGTTGCCCTCTTCTCCTGCCTTCAATCTTTCCCAGCATCAGGGTCTTTTCCAATGCAGTTGGCTCTTCACATCAGTGGCCAAACTACTGGAGTTTCATCAGCTTCAGTATCAGTCCTTCAGTGAATGTTCAGGGTTGATTACCTTTAAGATTGACTGGTTTGATCCCGGTGCTGTCCAAGGGACTCTCAAGAGTCTTCTCCAGCACTACAGTTCTAAAGCATCAAATCTTAGGCACTCAGCCTTCTTTACGATCCAACTCTCACACTCTTAATGTGACTATTGGAAAAACCATAGCTTTGACTATGCAGACCTTTGTTGACAAAGTGATGTCTCTGCTTTTTAATACGCTGTATAGGTTTGTCATAGCTTTTCTTCCTCGGAGCAAGTGTCATTTCATTTCATGGCTGCAGTCACTGTCCGCAGTGATTGTGGAGCTCAAGAAAATAAAACCTGTCACTGTTTCCATTTTTTCCCCTTCTATTTGTCATGAAGTGATGGGACTGGATGCTATGATCTTAGTTTTTTGAATGCTGAGTTTCAAGCCAGATTTTTCACTCTCCTCTTTCACCTTCATCAAGAGGCTCTTTAGTTCCTCTTCACTTTCTGCCATTAGAGTGGTATCATCTGCATATCTGAGGTTGTTGCTATTTCTCCCAGCAACCTTACTTCCATGTTAATGACATGGATTCATGTTAATATCACACAAAAAAAGGAAATTTATATCAATCTTTCCACCAAAACACAAAGCAAACAGCACAAAATATTTCAATATAGAGCAGAGCAAAAGTAACCCCATAGAAAAAGTAACAAAACTACTTAAATTTATTCTGAGCAAAGTTGTTTCAATTTACCACCATGCTATTAATCCATATTAATGACATTTAAAATTTACAGAAAAGGCATTTAGGATTATTTCCAATTTGTCACATATTCTGACTAATATTCCAAAAATAAATCCCTGGGCAAGAGAAGAGGTGATGAAGTTGGGAGTCTTGCAAGATGTCATTATTCTTTTTCATATTATCTCATATAACTTAAGTATATAGGTAGCTGATTCTAAGAGCATGATAAAAATGAATGAAATGGAACTTCTAAAAGTAAAAAATATGGCTCTCCCCAACATTTGATTCTAAATATAGCAGTTTAGAGCTTACATTTACCTTCTAATTATTAACAAAAACTTGTATAAAAGGAAATACAATTAGGATAAAATGATTTAAATTTCAGTTTAGCTTTATGAAAACTACAAAAAACTTCTATAAAATGTCACTATATGATCAATCAGTTTATAAGGATTCATAGAGAACTTTCTATGTGCTTTGCCTGTAGGCCTTAAAAAAGAAGCATAAATTTGGCTTTTGCCCTCAAAACATTTCTATCCCAGTTGGGAACAGAAAACTTACACACATGACACACAGAAAACAGAATAAGATATTAAAGTGCTACAAAAGTTGACGGAAAAAAGGTAAACAAGAACAAAGACGCATACACAAAAGAAACTATTAAGTTGGTCCTTAAAGGATAAATATCATTTTGGATAGGTGGAAAACGAATGAAAGTATTTTAGGAGGAAAGAGTCATATGAACAAAAGTATGATATTAAGAATAGACACATTATGGGATACATGATAAAAGATGAATTCTATGAAATACAAGAGGAATGTGAAAAAACACAGGCTTTGGGAGATCACACAGGTGGATGATTTAAATTTCTCTTCTACCCATGCTAGCTGTGACACGCGGCAAGTTATGTACTTCTGTGAATCTCAAGTTTCTTTATACATAAAAAGATAACTGAAATACCTACCCTGCAGGGTACTTTTAAAAATTTAAAGCTATAATATGTGTAAAGTACCTAGTACAGTGCCTACCTTGCACAAGAGTTGCACACAGTAAATTAGAATTCCACTTCTCTATGCTGGAGAATAGTAGAAAATTAGATTGCTTAGGTAGGTAAAATTGGGTTCCAGAAACTCCCTAAAAACTAGGGATTCAGGATAGATGAAAGAGGGACACTGATAAAACTGATTTTAAAGAAATAAACTGGCATATTAGGAGAATGAGAACTTAGAATCAACGGGTCTAGCTAAACTACTGCAGTCCCAGCATACAGAAAGCTGGACCTGACCACAGCAATGCAGGAAACAAAGAACACTATTTCTCAGCAAAGAATGACGAAGTTTTAGAACACTGATTAAATATGAAGAATGAAAGAAGGATGAATCAAAAACAAGACTTTTGATTCCATATAACAGGGAGAAAGGTAGCACAAAGCTACAATATCAGGAAAAAGAAAGAAAACGTGATTCTAAATTCCCTAAAGTTGTCTAAATTAGAGAATTAATCATAAGACTTCTATAAATGTAGTTTTCAATGTAATTAATTATCAGTACATGTAGAGGTAGAACTGAGAGGGGAAAATGTTTGGGCCTGAAAGACAGGTACTGGATAAGAAAATGCAAATAAAGCCATGATTCTTAAAAAGTACCTTATATGTAAGTTTGCAAGTTGAGAGCTGCTCATCATTTTCTTTGTATGGATGGGAAGAGGAGGAAATGACCCTAAAATGCCTACAGGATTGGAGAAGAAACTTACATGTGTCCAAGATGGAGTACTTCAGACTCCCTTCCTCTTGGCTTCCTTCATGTCTCCAATCCCCATCCAGGAGTAAAACATTTTTTTTGTATTTAAATAAATCTATGGGCTCAAGGGTTTATGATCAGTTAAAGAGTATGAAAAACTGATGAAAAATGAGGACAGTAAATATTTTAGGACTACATTTTATTTTTATTTATTTTTTACTTTTTTTTTTAATCTTTTTTTTCATTTATTTTTATTAGTTGGAGGCTAATTACTTTACAACATCACAGTGGTTTTTGTCATACATTGAAATGAATTAGCCATGGATTTACATGTATTCCCCATCCCGGTCCCCCCTCCCACCTTCCTCTCTACCCGATCCCTCCGGATCTTCCCAGTGCACCAGGCCCGAGGCACTTGTCTCATGCATCCAACCTGGGCTGGTGATCTGTTTCACACTTCATAATATACATGTTTCGATGCTGTTCTCTTGAAACATCCCACTCTCGCCTTCTCCCACAGAGTCCAAAAGTCTGTTCTATACATCTGAGTCTCTTTTTCTGTTTTGCATATAGGGTTATCGTTACCATCTTTCTAAATTCCATATATATGTGTTAGTATACTGTAATGGTCTTTATCTTTCTGGCTTACTTCACTCTGTATAATGGGCTCCAGTTTCATCCATCTCATTAGAACTGATTCAAATGAATTCTTTTTAATGGCTGAGTAATATTCCATGGTGTATATGTACCACAGCTTCCTCATCCATTCGTCTGCTGATGGGCATCTAGGTTGCTTCCATGTAGGACTACATTTTAAAAAATTTGCAAATCAAAGTACCATAAATATTTTACCCACTTTAAATCCAAGCAAAACAATCCCAAAGGAAGAGTTAATTTCCAGTTCTCATAGGCATCATGGGAACAGGGTTACTGCAGAAGACAAGACATAATTCTGATACCATTTAACACCAGAAACCAAGTGTTTAGCCACAGTAGCAGTAGTGCCCTCTGCTCCTTTAACTCATGATTTTCAAAGTGTAGAAAGCAGAATTATTTCCCAGAAAACTTCAAATAATCTTATTGAACTAACATTTTAAGAGTTGTCAATATTCTACAAAAACTATGTGTTCATACTAATGATCATGTTCCATTCAAGTCAGCTAACACACCTTCATATCTTTTGAGTGCTACTGACATTTACTAAGTTGAATGCTTTAATTACATATCAAAGTAATAAAAATAGTTCACTGATTCATGGAAAGATTAAAAGTAGCAATGAAAGTAGTAAATAATACAACTTATAAAAATAGCACTAATTTAAAAAATGAACAGGACTCTAATACAGTGAATACAGAATGTAAATTTGTGTATCAGGACAAAAGTGATATCATATAAGCAGCTAAAAAGGAAAATAATAGAAAATTAAAATACCAAAATTAAGCACCTCTTGATGAAGGTGAAAGAGGAGAGTGAAAAAGCTGGCTTGAAACTCAACATTCAAAAAACTAAGACCATGGCATCCAGTCCCATCACTTCAAGGCAAACAGAGAAAACATGGAAACAGTGACATATTTTATTTTCTTGAGTGCCACAATCACTGCGGATGGTGACTGCAGCCACGAAACGAAAAGACATTTGCTCCTTGGGAGAAATGCTATAACCAACCTAGACAGCATATTAAAAAGCAGAGACATCACTTTGCCAACAAAGGTCCATATAGTCAAAGCTATGGTTTTTCTAGTAGTCATGTATGGATGTGAGAGTTGAATCATAAAGAAGGCTGAGCACCAAAGAATTGATGCTTTTGAACTGTGGCGCTAGAGAAGACTCTTGAGAGTCCCTTGGACAGCACAGAGATCAAACCAGTCAATCCTAAAGGAAATCAACCCTGAATATTCACTGGAAGGACAGATGCTGAAGCTGAAGCTCCAATACTTTGGCCACTGATGCGAAGGGCTAACTCACTGGAAAAGACCCTGATGCTGAGAAAGGCTGACAGCAGAAGGAGAAGACGGCAACAGAGGATGAGATGGTTGGATGGTATCACCAACTCAATGAACATGAGTTTGTTGAAACTCTGGGATAGTGAAGGACAGGGAAGCCTGGCATGTTGAAGTCCATGGGGCTGCAAAGAGTCAGACACGGCTTAGCAACTGAACGACAACAAAGACACCAACTACTTGAAATTTCAATTTACTGAATCATCAGTCTATTTGTTCCTAGTTTTCTGCTATGAAATATGGTCAGACCTAAAGACAGCTTTTGTTTCACTTTAAAGTGCAGTGACCTATATGAGTTTTTCCAAAACAAGTACCAAATAATGCTTTGGAGAACAAAAGTGATGAATTTTGTTGCTAAAGAAAAAGTTAAAAAAAACAAACACAAAAGAGCACTCTTTATAGTGAAATCAAGTGCAAGTCAAACTATCACCAAGAGACTTATTATACCAGCCACAAGGTTAATGAGAAATATCACTTTCACAAACAAAAAACAGAACAAGCTATTGGCAAAATGCCTTTATCAAGTGGACTAGAGGATACAATGTGAGAAAACAATTAACTATGCACATGCTAGGAGACATTCCACTTCAGAGTTGGACAAAACCAGTGATATGTGGGGTCTGAATCAATACAACAGGAGAGAAATACACAGAATCTATTTTTCATTCAACATCCATTAGAAGAAAGTTTTCTATTATTTTGGGGCCATGATGTAAAATTTTAAAAAGGTAACACTGGAATCAGTACTGTGTATGCTAAGGCACTTCAGTCATGACAGACTGTGGGGCTCTATGGACTGTATTCCATAAAACGTTAATTGCCACCTCGACTTTTATAAAATGTTCTAGCTCCTTGGTTTTTATTAAAACAAAAAATAAGTGCTGTCTAAAATTTCTGTTCCTGTAACAAATCTTTTTCAAAGTACACTTTCATTTTGGACATTAAGTACAATGTTCTCCTTTTATGTGGCAGAAACTTTTCTTCCGTTGACATGAGATTAACTAAGATCCAGTGCTTGCTCCTAAGTATATGTAATGGATGCTTCTTTACTGTCTATCTTGTTGCTGTTTAATACAGCTATCAGATTTTATGTTGAGGCTTAGTTGATGTAAATTTATGTTATCACTTTGACGACTTAGGAGTAGGAAACTTTGTCTTGGTATTACTCTTCTGTATTTAAAATAGTCATATAATAGACAAGATTTCTATATCCAGCTTTTCAATCGGCTCAGTTTGATTGTCATTCTTTTGGCAGTGGATATCCAGTTTTCCCAAAACCATTTGTTGTAAAGACATAGGTGGAGTTTCTTACAGTGCTGTTGCCCTGTGTGAAGAATACCCACCACAACTGCATGCCTTCCGCCTACTAGTCAGTCTGGTCCCTTTTAAGATCTATTATTCCACACAGTAAAACAGATTCCAAGTGGTATACTGTCTATCAGTTCCAGAGCTTGCCTCTCTCTACTTATCAGTATAATTATCCCAGGAACTACGCTACTTCCCAGGACCTTGATTATTTTCCTACAAGTCAGACTTCCAAATAAGGTAACAGGTTTTCCTAAGTGACCCATCAATAGTATATGTAGTAGAAATTCCTCAAGGTTCCTCAGCCTTGGGTGACATTTTTATATAGGGTTAGGGCCAAGTTAACTATTTCTTCCTCCTAATTACCTGGTCATTTTGGCGATAATCAATGAGGGCAGGAACAAAGGCAATAAATATCTGTTCTTAAGTTTTCATATTACATCGAATTTATTTTGATGCAGAATTGAGCAGTTTTTCTTTATTAATTTTCCAGTGTCCCTTGGGCCACTGGGAGAAATTCTCTCTGGTGAAGACACCGGCAAATTCTATTACTGTCTAAACAAGTGTATCATTAATAATACTTGTAAACCAGAATAAAATCTGTCATAATGAATGCTCTAAAAGGAAAAAAAGAGTCAAATAATCCCCCTAAAATAAGACAATTTATCCAGTTTACCAGTACCTGGAAATATCCTTTTAGCACAGCTCTAGTGTAATAACAAATGCTTGTAATGATGAGCCTGAGGCATTACAAATTTCTATAGAAAATGTTATAATTAACATAGCTTATGTTAAGAGCATGGTTTAGTACAGTTAAATTCTTTTAAAACTGAAACTCAAGCACAATAGGTATAGCCACTCCATTAAGCCAAACATCTGCTAAAATAATATTTCCAATAGATCAAATGACAGTTTAACAGATAAGAAAATAACTATTCATTTTTCATACATACAGCATCTCCTAGAGTACATTCCAAATTTAGTTTATTTTCCTGAATACCACAAACACAAAAAAAGCTGATTGGTTTTATGAAATTATCTCTTTGATTTGGTTATTAATGACATTTATTTAATAGAGGCATAAAAGAAGAAAACATTGCATAAATAGGTTTAAGAAAACAAATGTCACAAACTATTTTACAACAAGACTGAAAAGGAAAAGTTTCCCCGCAAAGTCTTTCTTCTTTAAACAAAACTGTCACTGAGTATTTCTAGTTAGTATTGTTCTTACAAATATGATTTTCTTTACTTTAAATAATTTAATCCTGTTTTTCTACCTTCCCATCTCTACCTCATTTGTAAAAAGGCAGATGAAGTAATACCTCAGAAAATAACTGTCTGAAATTAACAAACTAACAAAAATAATAAATGTGTCTATCTGCTTTCCTAGTTAGATAAAAACCAGAACCTCTTATTAAAAGTAGCATACACATGTGAGTTAATCCAATATAAAATGCTCCTCGGAGGGGGGACCGGGATGGGGAATACATGTAAATCCATGGCTAATTCATTTCAATGTATGACAAAAACCACTGCAATGATGTAAAGTAATTAGCCTCCAACTAATAAAAATAAATGGAAAAAAAAAATGCTCCTCAGAACAGTAGCATCATGGTTGGATGCAATGCTATCTAAAAAATGCAAAAATTCACTGAAAACTAAAGCAAAACAACTTAATTTACTTAGCTGTACCTGCTCATCTCTTTGTCTCCACTCTTGCCAATTTTCTTCTCGTGAATCCCTCTGTACTGGGTTTGGTAATGAAAGCTCATGTTGAGCATTACAAATGGCATGGGAGGACTTCTGTGGAATTTTCTTAAAAGCAAGATTCCTGAGCTATGGAAAAAACAAAAAAAAATATATTAAATTCAGTTTACCAATACTGGGATACTAATGATTTTTTGAAAGTTAAGAAATCAATATTTTTATACTTCTAAATACTCATTATGCTAACTCACAAAGTCATTATGTGAACTTTTGTAATCTTTGTAGAATTTCACCAGCATTTAAGAAAATTTTGGTGGATTTCTAGATGAAATGATTAATAAGTAAAAATGGATTATACTCTATTATACCACCATTTGAACCAATTTAATGATCCTGGTTTACTAAAGGAATAGAGAACAGGATAACAAGTGTGCTTTTATTTTTTTTTTTCATTTATTTTTATTAGTTGGAGGCTAGTTACTTTACAATATTGTAGTGGTTTTTGTCATACATTGACATGAATCAGCCATGGATTTAACAAGTGTGCTTTTAAAATCCAAAAGAATAAGGTTCAATAAGATTAAATTTTAATGGCTTATAAATTTAAAAGTTTAAATAGTGAGAGCAGATAGCTTAAGGAACTCTAGCAACTACTTTGCTAGTCCTGAAAAACACAGAGCCTATAACTAGCAATATATGGTTAGGAAAATACTTTAAATGGTTACAACAGTCCAGTGGGGAAAGAGGACAAATCAAAGCAGTCTGTCTTAGGTGATACAGATTGCTCTACAGGCATTAGTTAAGTTTGAGGAACTTTAAAATATGATGACAATAGACAGAGTAGTTCAAACATTCATGCCCCATGATTATCTCATTATAGATGTCTGCTGCTTACATTTAATGTAGAATGAGTTTCTAATGCAGCAGACATTAGCACCTACCCTAACAATGTTAGCAAGGTAAAAAGTTCCAGTGAGAACAGATGCTAATTTTGTTCCTCTTATATTGTAAAGACTGTAGCAGTTTCCTCTGTATCTCTAAAAGGGAAAAAACCAAAACTTGTAATCTAATAGCTTTAAAGATTTTTTCCAATAAAAGCAATGGATAAGTTTTTTTTAAAAAATGCAGGGCCTAGCCCACAAAGTAACATAATGAATAAAACTGTACTGGCCAAGCCACTCCTAACAGTAAGAATAACCTGAGACACAGAGGTTGAAACAGGGAGAAAGGCACTGAGAGGCTATTATGGATTAAATTGTATTCCCTCAAAAAATATGTTGTAAGCCTAACTCTTGCTGTCTGTGAATATAACCTCATTTAGAAAAAGGATCTTTGCAAATATAATCAAGTTAAGGTTAAACTGAACTAGGCTGGGCCCTAGGGAATGAAAGGTATAGACAAAAATATATATGAAGCCAAGGAACACTGAGGACTGACAGCTACCATAAGAAGCTAGGAAGAGGAGAGGAAAGGAAGGATTCTACTCAGAAAGAGCCTGGTCCTATTAACACCGTAGTTAGAACTTCCAGAACTGTTAAGAGAATACATTTCTGTTGTTTTAAGTCACCCAGCTTGTGGCATTTTGTTACAGAAGTCCTAAGAACCCAATAAAGAGGCTTTAAATCAAGGATCAACAATTTAACTGATAATCAACAGACCATTCTGCAGGAGGGAGTGATGAGATACAAACACTGCTTTAAGTAAGTGGTTTCTGCTGTGGGAGAGCCAGAAGAGGAGATGCTGCTAGAGATGAAGCCATGGAAGGTTCAGTGCTTATTTATTACAGAAAATAGACTGACAGAACTATACCTGCGCAAGTGGGAAGGGAGGATCCTCAGGCTCATTCTCAGTAATGCAAATGTAAATCCCACTATTACCTTATTTTCTGTTACCCCAAATTATCTTTCATTCCAAAAAGAAATGGTAGGTAATCAAAAGTTCTGTAAGACTGGACTTCTGAAAGGTTGTATAGTGAGAAAAATGTCTTTTAAAAAAGTGACCCTGTGTGGCAAAATTTTAAAGAGATACTCAGAAAGCAATGGTGATGGAAATTAACAAATTGAAAAGGCTTTTCCACAGTCTTGGGATATTATAAAATGAATATAGGGAGAAAAAAACACTTTTACTACTTCTCTTATTCAGTGATAGAGAAAGGTCCTTATATACCTACTGCTCTATTAAAAGACAAACACAGGCTAGAGATGTTTTTCAGTATTTCTTTTAAAAATAAATGGGCACATTACATGTTGGTCATATAACTCAAGCTAGGAGTATTTACCAACAGACTGGTTCCAAATAGAAAAAGGAGTACGTCAAGGCTGTATATTGTCACCCTGCTCATTTAACTTATATGCAGAATACATCATGAGAAACACTGGACTGGAAAAAGCACAAGCTGGAATCAAGACTGTCGGGAGAAATATCAATAACCTCAGATATGCAGATAACACCATCTTTATGGCAGAAAGTGAAGATGAACTAAAAAGCCCCTTGATGAAAGTGAAAAGAGAAGAGTGAAAAAGTTGGCTTAAAGCTCAACATTCATAAAACTAAGATCATGGCATCTGGTCCCATCATTTCATGGGAAATAGATGGGGAAACAGTGGAAGCAGTGTCAGACTTTATTTTTTTGGGCTCCAAAATCACTGCTGATGGTGATTGCAGCCATGAAATTAAAAGACGCTTACTCCTTGGAAGGAAAGTTATGACCAACTTAGATAGCATATTAAAAAACAGAGTCATTACTTTCCCAACAAAGGTCCGTCTAGTCAAGGCTATGGTTATTCCAGTGGTCATGTATGGATGTGAGAGTTGACCTGTGAAGAAAGCTGAGCACAGAAAAATTGATGCTTTTGAACTGTGGTGTTGGAGAAGACTCTTGAGAGTCCCCTGGACTGCAAGGAGATCCAACCAGTCCATCCTAAAGGAGATCAGTCCTGGGTGTTCATTGGAAGGACTGACGCTGAAGCTGAAACTCCAATACTTTGGCCACCTCATGTGAAGAGTTGACTCATTGGAAAAGACCCTGATGCTGGGAGGGATTGGGGGCAGGAGGAGAAGGGGACGACAGAGGATGAGATGGCTGGATGGCATCACCGACTTGATGGACATGAGTTTGAGTAAACTCTGGGAGTTGGTGATGGACAGGGAGGCCTGGCGTGCTGTGATTCATGGGGTAGCGAAGAGTCGGACAAGACTGAGCGACTGAACTGAACTGAGGAGTATTTAGATGAGAAAGATCTGCCATGTACTTACTACCCTTAAGAAACAGATGACAAACAAATGCATAAAAATGTATGCATTTCAAGGCTAGTCATAGGATTATTATCTATAATAATTTAAAAAATGGGAAACCTAAATGTTTATCACAATAGTCTGATTAAGTAAACTATGACAAAGCCACATACTTTTAAATAATGTGGAGTCATTTAAAATAATGTTGATTTTTATTTACTCACAGGGAAAACTGCTCATGCTAATTTTTAAAAAACCAGTTATAAAAGTCTATTATATAATCTAATTTTCATTTAAGTTAAATATGAATGTAGATATATGTCTGTGCACATGTCTATATATTCAAAAAAACATATATATGTGTACAGAAAACACATACCAAAATATTAATTTGTTATATCTCTAGTTATAGTCACTAGAGAATAAATATTTTTATTTTATATTCACAACTGATCTGTTTCTTTTTCTATATTTTTTATTTTATATTCACAAATGATCTTTGTTTCATTTTAAGACTGCCTCTGTTTTTCAGGAACTTTCTGGAAGGAGCACATAAGCTTCCATAGACAAGGAAAAGAAAGGCATTCCATATGTTCATTACATTAGACTTCAAATGCCCACAAATTCATATATTTATATATATATTATAGTCATAATTACCAAGTACCTATGGACCAGGAACTGTGGATACATGGATCAACAAGATAGTAACTGTCCTCTTCATGCTTACAATCTACTGAGAAAGCAGACATGAAATATAATTGCTACCTCATTTGCTTCACTCTGCTGCTGTTCCTTCTTTTTTCTTCTTTTCTCTCTTTTTTTCTCATTTGTTGATTTATTTGTTTGAGACTTTCCAGTATTTCGACCTTTGCCTTTTCCAGGCTCAGAATCAGAACCACTGCCACTATCCACTTGCAACAAGGCAAAACGAGATGCAGTAGTGGGGACAGAACTAAGTACTGCTGAGGCCATTATAAAGATTTTTCTTTCAAAATACTTCTGTCAAGAATAATTCCTGTGGGGAGGGAGAAAGGAGGCAGATGAGTAAACACAGTAAATCTGTTTCTAGATTTTACTGTTTTATATTTCAGAACAAACAGAAATACACACACACACTTCTCCTGACACTGGATTTAGTAAATTTGGATTCATACCCACAGTCCTACTGGCAATAACATACTTTTTAAACTTAAGTAAACAACATAAAATTGCATAATACAAAACAAAAAATTATATATTGAGATTTCACAATTATTACAAGGCTACCACCAATATAATATAATTATTTTTCCATTCAGTTTCCAAAAATTAGTGACTTTCCTCTTTCTTTTAAATACGCCACCATAGCTACACTCCATGGGATCCCAAAGAGTAGGACACAACTGAACAACTAACACACACATAAAACAGAAGCCCAGTAAGTTCTCAGGGGTGTGACATTTCTCACCCGCCCACCTGTCAACCTCACAAGGGTCCTGGTCTAAAAAATCACTTCTTACCTATCAAAAATAAATAAATAAATAAATATGCCACCATATATCTACGAAGAACATCCTAAATCTGCCATAATACGCACATATATTTATGGAAAACATCCTAAATCAATACAGTTTATTAATACAATGAAAAAGTACATATATCATTTCACTGCACTAGAGATCACTGGTCCTGCTGCTGCTGCTGCTAAGTCGCTTCAGTCATGTCTGACTCTGTGCAACCCCATAGACAGCAGCCCACCAGGCTCCCCCTTCCCTGAGATTCTCCAGGCAAGAACACTGGAATGGGTTGCCATTTCCCTCTCCAATGCATGAAAGTGAAAAGCGAAAGTGAAGTCGTTCAGTCGTATCCGACCCTGAGCGACCCCATGGACTGCAGCCCACCAGGCTCCTCCATCCATGGGATTCTCCAGGCAAGAGTACTGGAGTGGGCTGCCATTTCCTTCTCCCACCACTGGTCCTACTACATGCTTATCCTTAACTTTGAAGACAGGGAAAAAGGAGTAGGAAAGAAAGAACATTCTTATATACAAATTCTGCCTTAAGTATGATTCTAGAGTGATGGCAAAATAGAGAACTTTCCCTGGAGAAGGAATGGCAGCCCACCCCAGTATCTTGCCTGGGAAATCCCATGGACAGAGGAGCCTGGCGGGCAGCAGCCCACGGGGTCGCAAGAATCAGTCAGACACAACTTAGCAATTAAACCAATGCCACCACCACACATGCAAAACCTGAAAATATTCATAACCAGCAGAAGCACACATCAAGAATTACTGAAAGAGGTTCTTTAAGTTACAGGGAAAATCATCCCAGATAGAAATGTGGCTCTTCACAATAGACAGAAGAATACTGGAAATAGTAACTACAATGATTAAGTTCATAAAATTTTCTTCTATATAAATGTCCCTAAAGCATGACTATTATAACAAAAATTATATATATATAAATTATATATAAGAAAAACTATATAATATATAAATTATATATAAAACATATTCTATAACAAAAATAGCATATATTTTTATAATATACATGTAAAAATAATTTATTTATATAAAAATAATATACATGTGTTACTTCAATAGTTAAAAAAAGAGAACTTAAATTCTCTCAACCAAAGGACACTTTTCAAAATCACCTTCTACCATTATCTTTCAGTTAACTAATCTCAGTGCACCCTATGTCTTTCAGCTTTTTTTTCTTTTATTGTAGCTAATTTACAACGCTGTGTTAATTTCAAGTGTACAGGAAAATGATTCAGTTATTTATATACATGTATATATTTTTACTCAATTATTTAAATATATATATATTATTTATGGGGCTTCCTGGTGGCTCAGTGCTAAAGAATCCACCTGCCAATGCAGGAGATGCTGGTCTAATCCCCATGTCAGGAAGATCCCCTGGAGAAGGAAATGGCAACCCACTCCAGTTTTCTTGCCTGGGAAATATTGTAAACAGTGCCCAATGTTCACAGCAGTGCTATTAACAATAGCCAAGACATGGAAACAACCTAAATGGCCATCAAGAGATAAATCGATAAAGAAGATGCATGTGTGTGTGTAGACTTGGGTAATCCAAGTCATCTGTTTGTGATATACAAACACAACAGAACAATACTCATCCATAAAAAAGAATGAAATAATGACACTTGTAACAACATGGACCTACATATGATCATATTAAGTGAAGTAAACATGACAAAGACAAATATTATATCACTTATATGTGGAATCTAAAAAAGTAATACAAATGAATTTATTTACAAAACAGAAATAGACTCATAGACATAGAAAATGAACTCATACTTATCACAGCTGATAGAAGGGGTGAGGGGAAGATTAAGTTAGTTTGGGATCAACATATTCACACCATGATACATAAAAGCGCCTACTGTGTAGCAGAGGGAACTATATTCAATCTGTAAACAAGGCTGCTATAAAAACCGAGTGCCTTCATGGCTCACAGCTCTGTCGTGGCACAGGGGCTCGCATACCTCAATGAGGCTACGAGCCATGCTGCGCAGGGCTGCCCAGACAGAAGGGTCACAGTGAAGAGTTCTGACAAAATGTGGTCCACTGGAGGAGGATATAGTAAATCATTACTGACTCAAGAAGCCCATTAACAGTATGAAAAGGCAAAAATATATGACACCAGAAGATGAGCCCCCTAGGCTAGAAAGTGTCCAATACACTACTGGGGAAGAGTGGAGGGCAATTACTAACAGCTCCAGAAAGAATGAAGCAGCTGGGTCAAAGTGGAAACAATGCTCAGTTGTGGACGAATCTGGTGATGAAAGTAAAGTCTGACACTGTAAAGAACACCACTGCATAGGAACCTGGAAGGTGAGGGCCATGAATAAAGGTAAATTGGACATGGTCAAGCAGGAGATGGCAAGAATGAACATCGACATCTTAGGAAATCAGTGAACTAAAATGGATGGGAATGGGCAAATTTAATTCAGATAACCACTACATCTACTACTGTGGGCAAGAATCCCTTAGAAGAAAAGGAATATCTTTCATCATCAACAAAAGAATCTGAAATGAAGTACTTGGGTGCAACCTTAAAAATGACAGAGCGATCTCAAATCATTTCCAAGGCAAACCATTCAACATCACAGTAATCCAAGTCTATGCCCCAATCACTGATGCCAAAGAAGTTGAAGTACCAGTTCTATGAAGACCTAAAAGATCTTCTAGAATTAACACCAAAAAAGATGAAAGATGTCCTTTTCATCATTGGGATCAGAAGGCAAAAGTAGGAAGTCAACAGATACCCAGAATAACAGTCAAGTTTGGTCTTGGAGTACAAAATGAAGAAGGACAAAGGCTAACAGTTTTGTTAAGAGAACATGCTGGTCACAGCAACCCCCCTTTTCCAACCCAAGGGATGTCTCTTCACATGGACATCACCAGATAGTAAATAATGAAAACAGACTGATTATGTTTTCTTTGCAGCCAAAGATGGAAAAGCTCTATACAGTCAGTGAAAACAAGACCTGGAGCTGGCTGTGGCTCAGATCAAATTTCAGGCTTAAAATTAAGAAAGTAGGGAAAACCACCAGACCATTCAAGTATGACCTAAATCAAATCCCTTATAATGATATAATGGAGGTGATGAACAGACTCAAGGGATTAGATCTGGTAGAGACAGTGACTGAAGAACAATGGACAGAGGTTCAGGAGGCAGTGATCACAACCATCCCAAACAAAAAGAAATGAAAGAAGGCAGGGTGGTTGCCTCAGGAGGCCTTACAAATGACTGAGGAAAGAGGAGAAGCAAAAAGCAAGGGAGGAAGGGGAAGATATCCAAATGAATGCAGAGTTGCAGAGAACAACAAGGAAAGATAAGAAGATCTTCCTAAGTGAACAATGCAAAGAAACAGAGGAAAGCAATAGAAGGGAATGACTAGAGATATCAAGAAAATCCCTTCTTTCTCTTCAAGAAAATTGAATATATCAAGGGAACATTTCGTGCCAAGATAGGCACAATAAAGGACAGAAATGGTATGGACCTAACAGAAGCAGAAGATATTAAGAAGTGGCAAGAATACACAGAAGAACTATACAAAAAAGATCTTCATGAGCCAGATAACCACAACGGTGTGATCCCTCACCCAGAACTAGACATTTTGGAGTGTGAAGTCAAGTGGGCCTTAGGAAGTACCACAACCAACAAAGCTAGTGGAAGTGATGGAATTCCACCTGAGCCTTTTCTTTTTTTTTTTTTTCCATTTATTTTTATTAGTTGGAGGCTAATTACTTTACAACATTGCAGTGGTTTTTGTCATACACTGAAATGAATTAGCCATGGATTTACATGTATTCCCCATCCCGGTCCCCCCTCCCACCTCCCTCTCCACCCGATCCCTCTGGGTCTTCCCAGTGCACCAGGTCCGAGCACTTGTCTCATGCATCTAACCTGGGCTGGTGATCTGTTTCACCCTAGATAATATACATGTTTCGATGCTGTTCTCTTGAAACATCCCACTCTCGCCTTCTCCCACAGAGTCCAAAAGTCTGTTCTATACATCTGAGTCTCTTTTTCTGTTTTGCATATAGGGTTATTGTTACCATCTTTCTAAATTCCATATATGTGTTAGTATACTGTAATGGTCTTTATCTTTCTGGCTTACTTCACTCTGTATAATGGGCTCCAGTTTCATCCATCTCATTAGAACTGATTCAAATGAATTCTTTTTAATGGCTGAGTAATATTCCATGGTGTATATGTACCACAGCTTCCTCATCCATTTGTCTGCTGATGGGCATCTAGGTTGCTTCCATGTCCTGGCTATTATAAACAGTGCTGCGATGAACACTGGGGTGCACGTGTCTCTTTCAGATCTGGTTTCCTCGGTGTGTATGCCCAGAAGTGGGATTGCTGGGTCATATGGCAGTTCTATTTCCAGCTTTTTAAGACATCTCCACACTGTTTTCCATAGTGGCTGTACTAATTTGCATTCCCACCAAC